GTTCTAATTCTGTTTTCCCTGAAGCGTCTGAGCAACTCAATAAAATTGATTTGCGGGGCTTTACGCGTTTCTCTAGGGGAAAGTGTGTTTATTTTTTGTTTGCCACCAGCATCACACAAGCGAAACATCTGATTATGTGTCCCTGGTCCAACATACCTGGACCAAATGGATAGTTATTATTAAGTGATATAAAACTAATAGCGATAAGCAAATTTGTGCATATGTTTACATGTGGAGAAATCCAATGGATGCAAAGCATTTTTTTAAAAGCAGTTTTTTGCTGACTAACAAAAAGAAGGCAAACCTGTGAAAGTATGAAAAAGTGAAACAAAATAGAGCATTGAATTGATTTAGTGCAATGTAAACAAGAGAGAATGTAAAAACCAGAAGTACTGAAATAAAAGGTCAACACATTCAACTTGTTGTCCTAATTAAAATATTTAAGATAAGAAAATTGTAAATATTTGGTATCTTATGTAAAATGTTGAAGGGCAATTATTAAAAGATTGAGGTGCAATTTAAATAGTGCAACACAATGAGGGGAGCAGATGGATCGTCGACTCTTACATTATCTATGCTTAGAGATGCACTGATCAAACATCCACTGACATTCTGACAAATCCAATTTCAGCTATTCACATATCTGCCAAAAAAGATCTAATCAAATTCAGCTTCCCATGAAAGTGAAAAGGATGACAAAAGGTAAAAAAAAAAAAAAAGGAGAAACCAGGGAAAGGTCAAAGATGGAGTAAAAAAACACAGAATGAAAGTAGTGTAAATAGTAATGGCGATAATATTGGGGATCATAACAATGAAATCAAACTGGAGGAAGCTGCTCTCTGTGTTTAAATGAGCAGCAGCAATCAAAGGACTTTTGATTCCCGTAGATTGTTTCAACAATCAAGTATTAAAAGCATAATGAAATATTTAGTTCTTCTCACAACAAAAAGGATTCGGTTGCAGATCTCTCCCTCGGTGCATCATTAAAAATACCAAAGACATACAGTAACCCTACAGTGGTCCAAAGGCATCTATACGGAGAAAGCTCAGTGTTTATATAAAAAATTCATTACAGATGTCTTGGAAGTAAGACAATAAAACTCTAGTTTACTAACATTACTTTGTATTTGATTGTTAAATCACCGATCATGTATTATTATAATTATACAGAAGTATTTAGTAAATTCCTTAAATGTGGATATTCGTCAGCTGAAATTAGAAAAAGTTTCTAATGTATGGGATAAAAATATTCAGCTTTTTCAAATAGGATGATTTAGTTCGAAACATTTAGTGTCCTAAGTAGAGTTTAAAGGAACTCTAATTTGTTTTTTTGTTCACATCTGTCAAATATGTTATAACAGTTTTAGAATTTTATTAGGTTATGATGTAATTCATCCCATTGTTTGTAAGCGTAAGGAAATAAAGCAATATGGTTAGAGAGAGTTCTTACTCGCAGCCATTGCTTTTCGGTCAGGGCGTCGCTGTAATCGACGTCCCGACGGCAGCGTGATCCGCGGCCGAACATCTTCTCTTCTTCTTCCTCATAGGTAAGCCTCTCCACCTCAGCATCGTCCTTGATGATCCAGGAAGGCAGCTCATCTTCTTCCATTAAGCGAGGCTTACGTTTTGGGTTCCTGGCGTCTTCTCGACGACGGTCCATGTCCATGCGCTAAAACACGGCAGGAGAAGTTATTTCCATTAATAAACAAAGAAGGGTCTCTGATATTTTTAGCTCAAAGATGGATCTGAGAGGTTTAAATGTATCACAGAATTATGTTTACTGTTTGAAGGGTATTTTCTACATTTATTGAAAGGTTAATTCCATAGTAACATCCAAGCCTGATGACTATAGAATAAAATAATTTAACCGTACAGCAGCAGGTAGCTTCACATGTGAAACAACAAGACTATTATTTGATTCAAAACACAAATGCACCATGAAATCACAGAGAACAGTCCACATTTCTCTCTAACAGAATATAAAATGAATCCCATGTTATTAAAGTCATATATTCTCTTTACTTTCTTATATATATATATATATATATATATATATATCAAACAAAATGCTCTTAATAAGTATGCTGTACATCTGCTTTTGGACCCAGTGAAGCATGGAGCGAGTTAACATACAGCACAAAATTAAGCATGAAAAATCTAAATAAACCATTAGAGATAAAAGAAAAAAGTTCCCTGAAGAACTTTGAATTGCACTAAAACTGAGAACTTTGCAACACCCAAGATGTTCTCATGCAGAACGACGCCTCTGTGAAGTTTGTAAAAGAAATTATGAAATGTTCCAGGAGCATTGGGCTGTGACAGATCATCTGCTTTAGTCTTCTTCTAAACTTTCATTTCAGTGAACATTTCAGGTTCACTGAAATGTAAATGCCTTTCAGAGCTGATGAAAATGTGTTTTTCTTACCATAAACAGCTCAAATTCATCTTCATTGCGGGCGATCATCTGGTTAAGGGTTTCATCATCAGGGACCTCGTCTTCCTCCTTGAACAAAGATATCATCAGAACAGCCTTTTGAACTCATGTAGAATTTAAAACATTTATATTTTTGCTCCTTTTATTTAATATGCTAACAAAGTAGACTCCACTGTGCTATTCAGATTTCACAAATAAACAGCTGAGGTTGGATTATACGACCACAAAAAAATGACTCAAGGACAAATAATTTTCACATCAAAGAGAAGCCCTCATTATGCAGACAAAAATTTAATTAAAATGTTCCTAACACATAATACATTGCTTACAAGCCGAAATTCAGCCATTTATTGTCCTTGCGAATTCAGCAACTTAAACAACCTACTTGGGAGTGAAGGATTTTTGTCTGGGTCTGAAATCTTTTCATCTGAATATTGATGAGCGTTAAAACTCAGTTCCCACCTCGTTCTGTTCCTCGTGTTCTAAAATGGCTTGGAGGAAGGCCCGCCGCTCGTGGCTGGAGGATTTCTGGTCAAACATGCCTGCTTGGATAACCTTCTGATCCACGTTTAGTTTGTATTTGGCAGCAGCCAGGATTTTTTCCTCCACGCTGTTGACCGTGCAGAGACGAAGCACACGGACCTCATTTTGCTGTCCGATGCGGTGAGCCCGATCCTGGGCCTGAAGATCCTGGAAATAAAGAATGGGGACAACATTTCCAGGCATTAACGGCTGGATAAAGGAAAAGTAATGAACAAAGAACATAAAACCTCCAGATTAAACTCAATATCTTAGAATAAAACTTTTAGCCGTGACCGAAATCATCCTCATCTAAAGGAAAAATATAAAATAAACTGATTTGTTCCAGGCAAAGAGTGAAAGATAATCATATCCCTTCATCTACATGTTCATCTACATGTTAAATGGTAGTTTTTATTTGCAAATCCTAAAAATTTATTGATTTCTGATAAAATGTTTTTGGAAAAGACTGAAAAGAGAGTTTGACAAATGTGATCTTCAAATGAAAAAATATATATATTGTTCACACAAGTAAAAAACCCCAGTAAAATTCAAGTCAATTCAGTTTACCTGGAGAGTGCCAATTCAGCAGACAAGGTTTTAAAACCCTTCATGATGCTTTAAAACCCCACTGTAACTCTTTAAACAATTAATTCTGGTTTTATGATGAAGATCATTGTAGCTGAAAACACCCTGGGAGAGTCTGGCTTCAGACAGGCATTGAAACAGCTTAGTATTCGCTCAAAATGTGGGGGTTTGTTGGAGAGTTTCTCAGTTCAGGTTTTGGATAGAGCTTTAATACTGTAGATATTCTGGTAGAGTTTTAATAGTCTGGAAAGTTATGTAAGAGAAGTAAAGACAGTTTGGAGATTGAGGAATGTGAGGAGAGGACGGAGGATGGACCCTACGGGGCAGAGGAGGATTTCACCACTGACGGAACATTCTGGCATCATTTCTTCCAGTAAGGTAAGGGAAATCTAACATATACACATTTATTAGATTTGCTTCTCAGGAAGTGTTTACTGTTAATTAATTTATCTAAATACTATGTGTTTAATTTGTTCCAATGAGTTGGTGTCCGATGAAAAAAGCCATCCTGGTGACGCACTGCCACGCCCTTAATCAAACATGAGGTCAACTGGTGATACACCCAGCCATGGTAACTTATGACTTATTATTGACACAAAACTGTCCTTTTTCTTAACTAATATTTTTATTTATTGTGCAACGAGCAAACAAGTAACCAACCCACCAGAAAATTAGATAGTAAGGGTTATATAATCTTCAGCATTCCAGATTGTGTTGGATCCAGGTCATTTGTTACCAAATTGGATCCTAATTATAGCTTATATACTGCAGGTATATAAGCTATAATTTTCTGATGTTTTTCTCATGATTCAGCTCTATGTTACAACCTCATATTTTTTACTTTAGGCTTTGAGAGCCATGATGGAGGATAAGGTTTTGTTTTTTTCAGCCAGAATAAATCAACAAAAGCAATTAGGAGACTAACTTCAGACTGTGCAAACTTTGCGCCTTCTAGACTGAGCTCTTCCAGGCTTCTACCTTGAAAGATATCACTGGAGGTGATCTTTTTTTTTATTTCGAGCTCTGTTATCCTAAACTGAAAAACTGATCTGCTATTTACTCTTTGGTAGCAAACTGTGGCATCGTTTGGACATGAGTGTAATGGAGGCAAGAAAACAAAACAAAACAAAAAAAGACACACGAAATGTAACTGCAGACGCCAACGTTACTTATTAAGGCCCAATATTAGAAGAATAGAAAATACACTAGATAACTGAAAAGACAAAAATTCAAGTATTTACGCATTTACACAATCATGCGCTTGCATTTTCAAAGGCTGGAGCAGTAGTGTGGAAAATAAAGGAATAGATTAATTTAAAAACTGTTGAAAAAAATCAGTATTTCTGAATAAAACTAAAATCTCCCATTTTGCACATCACTGTCAAAGTTCCACAAGCACTTTCACAGTGTGCCTGCTAAAGCCATTTATCTAAAAGGACAGAAAACCATGCACAGCCTGCCATAAAAGAGTTGACATTTCTTAGAAATATGCAGCCTTGACAAAACTAGGAAAAAGTCGTCAGAGCACAAACTGAGAAAAACAGTAAAAGCCATCAAATTCGGAGAAGAGTAAGTTTCGTTTCACCACAAAATGAGATTGTTGAGATTTAAACGGACCGCTCAGGGTTATAAATTATAGTTTCTGAAGTTTTAAGATGGTACATTTTGAGTTGAGAAAATCTGCCCCTTTTTCATAGTAAGATCTCAACAGGCTGCATCTGTATATCAGGAGGGGAGAAACCCACAATTCATGTATACAGCAGCTTTGTTTGGCTCATAGAAGGTTTTTAAAAATGCGTGTTGCCCAATGAGCCAGTAAGCGAATGGCTACTTATGCAGAAAGAATTGGATGATAGGCAGTCTAAGTTGAGCGTTTACACTCATATGCAACATGGCACAGTGATGAAGAAAAAAAAAGAAGGAAAAAAACTCAAATAAATCCCCATTTTCTCTATGTTTGCAAAGATCTTTTTGTCCTTAAAGCTTCAATTTGCTCAATCACAAAAGTGCTGTCCCTGAAATAAAAAGCACAGAGCTCCATTATTAAAATAACCAGTACGTGTCCAATTATTTCTAAATTTTACAGACAGAAACTCTGTATTGGGTTAAATGCAATTATTAAGGAGTCACATTGTCTCCACCTGCATGAGTGACCCCCAATCCCGTAAAATATAGGGGCCAGCTTCACCCAGGTGCCATCCTAGCGTCTTCCATGGCATTAGGATGATGAAGTAAGAACAAGTGCCCCAAATTCCAGCGTTGTGTATCGGCACATGGATTATTTTGTCACTTTCTTAGTTCTGATAAGCTTTCCATCTACTTCTCTCAACCCTCAAAAAAATACAAAAAAAATTTTGCGTGTTGACACATTAGGCCATTTTGTTTAATAATCCTTCCACTCTAAAAACAAAGCAGGATGAGGAATTCATATCATATCTTTTATGAGAAATAAATGAAAATATACTAATTGTAGAGCCATCACTATCCAATTTCAATAAAAGTTTACCTTATTAAACCAGAAAAAAGGAGCAGGCATAGCTTGGTGGTAAAAAATAAAACATAAATGCCCATCAAAACGTCTATATATTAGAGGACTAATGGATGCACCTGGTGTGGGTTCCAGTCACTGTCAAAGATGACGACTGTATCTGCAGCCTGCAGGTTGAGCCCAAGGCCACCTGCTCTGGTACTGAGGAGAAAAATGAAGTACTGAGATCCTTCCTCGTTAAATTTCTTCAGGAGAGCAGCACGGTCCTCAGATTTGGTGGTTCCTGGAAACAAATAAATGTTGCAGCTACATTAAAAATTTACTTTCTGATCGTATAAAGCAGCATTAAAAAGAGAAAAGTGAACAGAAGTTTTTTGAAACCATGACCAATCCTTGGTCAAGTCACCTTCGCCTCCGACTGCTGCAGAGTATGGGATCAATTCTCTACGCTATTGATTCTTAGCTTTGTTCATTGATCCTGATAAATGTAATTAGTTAGATAGACATATACACTCCAGGCATGTCAAAGTGATGTAAAAAAGTGGATGACTCCAAATGATCTGCTTTTAAATGCAGATGTAACAGAAGTTGCCATCTTTAACTAAGCTTTTGCATTAATGAATACTCTAGTCTTCATAAATGTAAAACCAGTCTAATCACTTCAATAGAAGTCTCAACTTAGCCTCCAGTAATAATGTTAAAAAAAAAGAAAAAAAAAAAACATAATGTGGGGGAGTTTGTCATCAGTAGGTAAGGAGAGACTGGTCCAGGTAAAGGAAAAGAGGGACACTGCTAAATAAATGATATACTTGAGTAAAATCTATACAGTAAGTAATGTTTTTTAAGTAAAAAACAAAAAACAAACAAAATTTAATGTTAGAACTGTAAATATACTGTCATATGTTTATACTATTGTTTTTATGTATTTTTTACTGTTTTCAAGGCTGCACTTAAAAAAAATGAAATTGTCTGCAGAGCTGTTCTTAACGAAATTTCTTCTTTTTTTTTTTTTAATCTGTCCAAGTCTAATCTATGCCACTCTGCCTGTGCTTTGAGACTGGGAAAGAGGTGTACGTTTCATAAAGACAGTGACAATAAAGAACAAAAAGTATAAAGCTAATCTTAAGTGGTTTCAGGGGAAACATTAAAACCCGTTAGAATAGCCTAGTCAAAGTGCAGACGTGGTTAGACTTTTGGATCCCTGCTCACAATCCAAAACCACTGAATAACAAGGGGCTGAATAACCGCTGCGTTTCTCTACAGCAATAGAAATTTACACAAATACCAACCATTCTTGGTGCTCAACCAGTAAAGTATTATTAAACGCTAACAGAACAGATCATAGTTGGGATCGTACCATCAAGCCGTAAATACTGGAAGTTACGATAACCGAAGTAATCCTCCATGATGGTCATCAAAGAGGTCATCTGGCAGAAGAGCAGCACCCTGTGGCCAGTGGCCTGGAGCTTGGGTAGGATTCGATCGAGAAGCTCAAACTTTCCAGAAGCTCTGTATAGATCATGTCTGAGTGGGGAAAATTACAATAAAGATTATTTATCTGCTCAGCTGTACTACTGACACTGTAAAATGAAAACAAAAGACTTGTTGCTAGGGGAAATGTAGCATAGTTGTTGAGCATGCAAATAAATTTAAAACCCTTCAGCATTTTGGTGGAACCTAATTAACATACAGCTGCTATGCTTTCTTATTTATAGAACAGATCTTAATAAACTAATTATTTCTGTTAACGAAACCATACAATATATAAAACTTATCCAAACAATATTTTATGGTGAAATTTCATGGATTTCATCATTTGACAAGCTCTATGCTCCTTATGGCCATTCATTAATCATAACAGAGGACAATAATGTCCCCCAGGGGTAGAATTCAATGTCAACATCAATGTCAGCACAACATAAAGAAAACTAGTTTCAGAAGTCATCATCCTGTCAGCATCACACAGAGTTTACTTTAAATCATACATGACAGACTTTAGTCCCTGAGAACTGGAGCCCTGCAACTTCTTTACATAAATAGGTCATTAGCAGGACTCTGTTGAACTTGAATGCATGCTGAGGTGGTAATTAAGCCATTTGATTTGGCTGCGTTGGACCGAGGACACATTAAATTTGCAGGACACCAACCCTCAAAGGAAGGTGTTGGACACAGCTGAAAGCATCTCTTATGCTTAGATTCAACTTAAAACTGTAACAGTGTGAATGTAAAATAATTTGTTTTATATAAGCAAATTTCAATAATTTAAATCAAATTATAATCTGTGAATTATTTACAGTTTTCTCTGAACAAAGGCAAAACAAAAAAGACCAAAATAGTCTAAACAACTCTGCTGTAAAGAGCTTGGTGAGAAATAGGATTTAGTGTTTTTTTTTTATTTTTTATTACCAGATAAGTCTTAAGCTCTACAGTCCTAAGCTGTAGGGCTTAAGAGGTTAACTCAACTTGCTAAATGTTTTCACATAAAGTGTAGATGCAGGAAACTTAAAATATAACATCCTCTCAAGTGTTTTTATTAAAATGTTCCACTAGTTCTGCTATAATAATTGTGATTTAATTGAAAAACATAAAGGGGAGATTGAAATAAACCATCCTACATCTGAACAAATTAACTATTCTTATTGAATACTTTGCTATTTACAAAGTTAATGTGCTGACAATAAAAAAACAAAAATAATCAATGGAAATCAAATGTAACCAATAGAGTCACCCACAAAATTAAAGGGGAAACATCCCACTAGAGGCTGATCCAACTTTGATGTTCAGTCCTTAGAGCAGGTCAAAATGAGGCCCAGTGTTGTGTGTGGCCTCCACATGCCTGTATGACCTCCCAACACCTGGGCATGGTCCGGATGAGGTGGTGGGTGGTCTCCTTAGGGATCTCCTCCCAGACCTGGACTAAAGCATCCTTCAACTCCTGGACAGTCTGTGGTGCAATGTAGCTTTGATAGCTGGATGGAGACATGATGCCCCAGATGTGCTCAATCCGATTCAGGTTTGGTGAACCGGCGGGTCAGTCCATAGCTTCAATGCTTTCATCTTGCAGGAACTGCTGACACACTCCAGCCACATGAGGTTTAGCAGTGTCCTGCATTAGGAGGAACCCAGGGCGAACAGCACCACCATATGGTCTCACTAGGGGTCTGAGGTTCTCATCTCGGTACCTAATGGCAGTCATCCTACCTCTGGCGAGCACATGGAGGGCTGTGGCCCTCAAAAGAAATTCCACCCCACTCCATTACTGACCCACTGCCAACCTGGTCACGCTCTCCACGGTATCTCCGTGTGTCACATGTGCTCAGTGTGAACCTGCTTTAATCTGTACAGGGCGCCGGTGGCGAATGCAAATGCAAAACATCTGGGTAAGTCGTACCCGCATACCATCTTCATGGAGTCAGTTTCTAACTGTTAGTGCAGGCACATGCATATCTGTAGCCTGCTGGAGGTCACCTTACAGGGCTCTGGCAGTGTTCCTCCTATTCCTCCTTTCACAAAGACAGAGGTAGCTGTCCTGTTGCTGGGTTGTTGCCCTCCTTCAGCCTCCTCCACATATCTGGGTGTACTGGTAGTACCTCCAGTCTCTGGACACTACACTGACAGACATAGCAGACCTACTTGTACTGACGTGCCATCCAAGATGAGCTGCGCTACCTGAACGACTTGTGTGGATTGTAGAGTCCATCTCATGCTACCACGAGTGTGAAAGCACGAGCAACGTTCAAAAGTGACCAAAACATTGCCAGAAAGCATAGGTACTGAGAAGCGGTTTGTGGTCCCCACCTGCAGAACCATTCCTTTATCGAGTGTGTCTTGCTAATTGTCAATAATTTCCACCTGCTTTTTATTAATTTGCATGACAGCAGGTGAAATTCATTATTAATCAGTGTTGCTTCCTAAGTGAATAGTTTGATTTCACAAAAGTTTTATTTGATTGAAGTTATATTGTGTTGTTTTGGTGTTCCCTTTATTTATTTATTTTTAGCAGTGTATTTTGCAGCTATATTTAACACATTTTCCTTGTAAAGATCCTATAGAGGTAATTTCTTGTTATGGCTTAATAAAGTCCATGTAATGTTTTATTCAATGGAAACTTGACATTTCAATAAGAGCCATATCTGTTCAGTCCTTCCAAAGCCTTTTTGAACTCAAAGTATAGAAATATGGTTTTACTTTCACACTGATACTTGGTGGAGCTGCTTTCTTTCATATTAAGTTCTTTTTAAAGGTAGAATGATGAAAACTCAGTGAAATGAGCTGTGAATCTACAGACGAGTGAAGTTGTTTTATGTTTAACTTACCCACTGATGATGCCATTCGGGTAGCCCAGGTGCTCAGCAAAAGATTCCTGTATCAAAGAAAGAATTCAGTGCTTATAAAGGAAAGTAGAGAAGTCCTAAATCTTAATCTCCTGTGCTGGAACAACCTTTTAAAATATGCCTGCACATCATTTTTTTAATAAACAGAGGTAACAAATTTAACATTTTCATCTCAAGGGTCATAATGGAGGGTAACAAAATATTGATAAGAATTTAGCCGGCTAGAATGAAACTATTCAAACAACAACTTCTAAGACGAAAAAAGAAAAAAAAATCTAACCCAGTAAGGCAGACCCTATTTGAAGAAGAGACTGGAAGAGCTCTAAATGAGTTACATCAGTAAAATATCATATAACATTTCTGTGTCAGCAGTGCAAACCTCTATGTGTTGGAACATGTACGGATGGTTACAGATCTTCTTCAGCTGCATGATGGTGTTCATCAGGGTCTTAGCACCTCCTTTGCCCTGAAGAAAATGAAAATAGTGTTAATCAAGTCTGCTTAACTAAAAATAATAATACTTATTACTATTATTATTTTTCTTCAAGATAAAGTTGATCTACACCATACAAGTTGTTTTAAGTAAAAAAAATAATTGTATTAATGTTTAATAGTTGTTCTTAAAATGAATGAGTGAACTGTAAGAACAACTGAACAAATGTATGTCTATAAGTACTTTCCAAATGTCCTTGTATGTGTATTTCCATGGTTCACAGAAACCAGTGACGCCTATATCAGCCAGGAGACACAATTACTTTCTAGAAATATGAAAATATTGGGAAAATTGAAAACAACTCTAGACAGACTAATCACTACACAAATCTAAATGACTCTTCTGAAACTTGTAGAAAGGAAGTTGATATTCATGACCTTAACGAAAGCCTGGAGCTTTACCCCAAATACTGGTTACACTGTATAGTTCTTCTTTGAGGGGTAAGTTGATTGTTTCTTTGTTTGTTGGGTCTTTTAGGTATTAGAATATTCATGTAGTTTATGGTTCAAATCATGAACTATAATGCATCTTTTCAGATACTCAAATCTAGAAAAAAAAAAAACTTTTAAGTGGCTAAAATTAGACATGTTTTTTTTTTTTTTTCCCATATCACCTTGTAAGAAAAATAATTATCTTTTAGGATCCCAGAAAGCTTATATAAAGTTGAGCTTGTTACATTTGATTATTATATTTTTTGTTCGGTCCAGCACCCTATTTTACGAGCTAACAAAACAGTGCACTTTAATAAAATAAAAAAATAAAAAAATACACAAATATTAACATAAAATAACCAAAATGAATAAAATGCTTTGTGCATCAAACAAAACTCTGCTTTAAAGTATATTAATCAGGCTCAGATGGAGAAAACAGGACAATCTATCAGTTTTATATACAAAAGTGCAAAATATTGGCAAAGGAACTCAGTTTCAATAAGAGCAGATGATTAAATGGGTCATATTTCAGACATGTTTTCCCAGGCGTTTCACTTTAGGTGTCAAATTTTAGCAAGTTTTTAGCAGCATCTCTAGAGAATAAGTACCTACACTTACTGTGTACCATTTTGCTCCACCCTTTGTTTGTAAATTGTTTTTGTTAAACACTTTACATCAACCATGTCCAAAGTTTGTCCTCAAGGGCAACTTTCTTGCAAGTTTGAGATGTTTCCCTTGTTCAGCACAGCTGATTTCCATTGATAACTGATTAACAGGCTTTTGCTGAACTTTAATCATCAGAATCTCATGTGATGAAACTGAGGAGCAATCCAAACCTGAAGGACAGCTGCTCTCAAGGACCAACTTTGGACATGCCTGTTCTACGGGTCATGAACTTTTGAGAATTTAGAAAAATGTTTTCTCCCCAGCTCGGAAAAACTGTCTGTTTCATTACTGTGTAGTGAGTGAAACCTTTTGACATCCAGCCTATTTAATAGAAAGAGAGGGTGACACAATGAAAAGAATCGGGCATGTAAATGGAAATTGTTCAGCTTATTTACATTTGAGATCGAAGGAATGTTTATCATGCAAATAATTGATTTATTTCTTTTTGATACAAACAAGCCTACCCCCCAAACATAAACCTTCCCCTCTCAGATCCTGTAGGAGTTTCACTGTCCACTTTAAAACAGCCTTGGGGCTCTTTTGACACCCCACAGGAGAGGCATCATGGTCCTGTGCTGTAAAATTTCTGCATTAAAGGCCCTCTGAACAACTAAGGTGGGGACTATATACCAGTAAAACAAAGTCCTCTTGAACAAATAATAGAATGGAAAAAATTATCCCTTAGATCCTTTACTTGATCTCTGTGAAGTAGTTGCTGTGAGGTAAAAAAGAAAGTCATTGTTTCAAATCTACTGTCCTACTGCCACTCATGCCCTTGGGCAAGTCACTAAACCCCAAGAGACAAGGCTCAAGTCTAGAGTGATGAGAAACCAGCATGGTTAGAAACCACTTCATACAGTTAGTGCGTTTAACAAATAAGTAAGTCAATAAATTCATTTAAATAACCCAAGTTAAGGTTTCAAATTACTGAGCTAAATTAACTTTTATACAATGTTTTAACTATTAAAGTGCAAAGTATGTGCTGTGTTGACCTGTTCTAATCCAAAACCTACTCAGGGGAACCAACAGTCCTATAATTATCTAATAGAGGTTTCTTTGATGTATAAAAACCAAAAACATGGTAAAATACAGCAAGGCCCTACATGTTAGAATAAAATTCACCTTCTTGTCTTTCTCTGAGCCGTCGGTTAGCAGTATGCCTTTCTGCATGTGGCGGTAGAGAACCTTCTGGATCGCTGACATGTCACACTTAATGACGTATTCCACCTGAGAAATATGGAACAGAATGGTTTTATGGTTCATAAGGCAGCTTAAACACCAGAAATTATCATCAATTCCCAAGCTGTACCTCTGCAGCTGCAGCAAACATGTTGCATATATCAGCAGTTAATACTGGCGGCTTAAATTCCCTCCTTACATTAAATAGATGCACTAAAAGGTCAACAAGGATGACCTTGTTTAAAGAGAAAGTTGATTCAGGAGACAGCTGGGCAGAGCAGAACCCATGAGTGTACTAACTGGCAGCTACAGATTGGATTAAAACTAGGAAAAAGTCAACAGTAACTCTCACTGGTGAGCTGAGGCCTTTTATGGTCACTTATATCAGCATGCTAAACATTTATTCATAAGAAAACTGAGGCGGTAAAAAAAAATGAAGATGTCTTTGTATTAAAAAATACAAAGACATTATATTTTTATTATTATAAAATAATAAAAAAATGTATTTATGTTCTTATAAAGGGAAAATCAACTGATGCCAAGGGCAGAAGCTAGCTCTAAGATCGAAATAACATGAATTCAAATAAAAAAACCGTCTGACAAAAGTAAAAAAAAAAGCCTTTGGGTCTGTGTGCTGAATACAGTTTGCCAGTTTTCTTTGTAGTGATGTCAATACAACTGCAAATTAAGGATTTAAGATCACTTTTAAAAGTGCATCGAAGTACATTTAAATGATCTTCATCTTAACGTGCATTTTCAGAGACAGATTTAAAATCAAGCAGCTGTACTGCAAACAGATTCCTGACAGTAAATGTCAAATCAAACAGGACTCACTTTCTCTGGCAGTTGAGATTCCACCTCCTTCTTCAGTCTTCGAAGCAAAAATGGGCGGAGCACCTTATGCAGACGCCGAATGATTAGAATGGTCTCCTCCTCATTAAGGTCAACCTGAAAAACAGATAAACAGAGACTTAAGGACTTGAGCATTCTGTAGGATAGAACTTTTGGTTTAACACAATAATGAAGCTCTCCTGGCTCCATCCCATGAACTTTAAGTGTAAAGAGTTGTGATTTTTCCAAGTCTACTGTTTTAAAGTAAAAGTCAAAGTCGAGTCGATTCCTTGTTCTTTCAAGTAATCACATTAAATCAGAGGGTCATGCTGCACTCCCAGTCTTGGTTATATCGGGTAGGTCTAATCCAGCTTTTATTGCCAACCGAAGAGCTTGCTCTACTAAGAATTAGCTAATAAGGGACCAGTTTTGCATGCTGGGCCACATCCAGATGTGGGTAGACTCGGCTTGACTAAGGCGACTTTTGGTGAATGCCCTGGTAAGTTTTGTATTTTTTATCTCTCAAATTCTCAAGACTCGGTGTCCTTCAACCTTTGGATGTGTCCCTCACCCTAAAGAATTGGCTAAAATACCTCACCAGCATACGGTTAGCTTGTGCAGAGCTATACTGATTATCTTAAATTAGAGTAGGTGTGTTGAAGCAGAGACATCTCTTAAAGTTAAAGCACAATGTTTCTGACCACTAGCTTAACAAGACCTTTCAATGCAGTAATGTGATCATCCTCCAGAAGAGGGCGCTGCTGCTCATCCTAAAAGGTGCATCGTCATGTTGTGTCTGTACAAAGAACACCAAAAACCATTTGATTATGATAAAAAAAAGTTATATACACTAAACGTTTGTCCTGACAGTGAGCATAAATAGAATTCTGGCACCAAACATGTTGAAAACAGACATATGTGCCATCTGCTGGCAATATTGTGGAACTGTCAGAAAGCAAGATGGCAACAATTGACACAGCTACTTAATAGAGTCCTGCAATGCTTTGTGGGTAAAGCGAGATATCAAGATGGTCGAAGATCCCCCAATATTAATTAGATAAACTGATCTGTAGACAACTTTAACCTCCTCCCGAGAGCCTCTCCTCTGAACATCGAGAGCAAAGAAAATTCGTGCTCTTAGCAAACACAACATAAAACATGTTTCAATTTAATAAATAGAAAAATACTTATTTATTGGAATTAATGTAAATTAAAAGCATTAATATGCGATTTCCCCATCATGTATAATTTAATGAGCCCTCAAATGAATTTGACCCGGCAGCTTTAGCTTTCGCATCAGTAAACACCAACATTCATAATAGGTTCTTATCCCTTTTGGAATCAAACATCTTGTTGTGTTTTTTGTATTGATATTTTAATATGGAACACCTATAATAAATGAAAATGTGCATTACAGTGTTAAAACAGCAACAACTGAAATAATAATAAGAGCAATATGTAAGAAGAAAGGTTGATTTAAAACATGTTTTAAGCTTTTCCTAAACTGTAAAGAATAGAAAAATGATAGGAAACATAAGCTAATGTTTACCCTCTCTCCAGTCATGGCGAAAGGTGCATTGAACCACTGCTCAAAGGTGCTGCAGCTCTTGAAGATGGTGGGCAGCAGGAAGTTGAGCAGAGCCCACAGCTCAGGCAGCTTGTTCTGCAGCGGGGTCCCGGTAAGGAGGAGCCGGCGGGGGGCCACATAGTGGGTGTTCAACACCTGTGTCAGTTTACAGTGGTGGTTCTTCATACGATGGCCCTCGTCCACAATCATGTACTTCCAGCGGATCTGTAGGTGGATGAAAAAGCCAGGTGTCAGATGGGAACTGGAAATAGATTTGAATTGCTTATAAACTCAGAAAATGCAGCTGTGTATAAGATTAGGCATGACTATTTTTATATCAACGATATTATACATAATACAACCTGAAAAAGCTTTAGATTTCACTTAAATAGGTTTTAATCCTTTAATCAATAAAAAAAAAGAACAACATTTAGCTAACATTCACATACAGGAAAAAATAAATATGGATATATAAAAAAATGTAAAGCAAATGATCTGTCACTCACGTGTCCAGATTTACTTTAGAAAATCCTCTCAGACTCAAACCTCTGATCAAAACCAAACAGGAATATTTTGAAACACATGTTTTATATTTTATTCTGAAACTCCCTTTGTAGCTTTATTTCATAAAGGATCATTTTAGTGATGGAAATTAAATTAGATACAAATCAAAGCAAAGAGAAAAGTCATACAATAAGAGGCTATTTTTACAGTTTGTATACATTGGTTAACATCTAATTCATTATTTGCATGAAATCTCTACCCTGCAAAGAATTCAAGGACTTGCAGGGCAGGTTTGTCTTAATGTCTGTTTAACAAAAAAAATAAAAATAAAGGGTCTGGAACTTATTTTTTTCAAATTCACAACTTTTAAGGATTGAAGGACCAGGGAGAACTCTATACTTTGAGCTGCATAATAAGATGGAAGACTTTTTTTTTTTTTTTGAGACAGACGATGCAAAAGATTTGAAATTCAAGAGTGTTTTAAACAAAGGACATATCCTTCAACTGCTTTACCTTGGCCAGTATGTGCTTGTCCTTGATGATGTACTCATAGGTAGTCAGAAGAACATTAAATTTGCCGCTGCGAAGCTGAGGTACAAGACCGCGACGCAGAGCAGGAGTGCCCTTAAATGGGAGAGAGGGAGAATAAAGGAATGTTTCAGGTCAAAGCAAACCAACCAAATTAATAAAACAAAACAAAAAAAGTTATTTACCTTGTACGCAATTTTGACCACAGAAGGAGCCCATTTGTCAAGTTCATAAACCCAATTGGACAAAGTCCTAAAAAAAAACAAAAAAGATAAATAGATTTTAACATTCTGAACTGAAGAGGGAGTTTTTACCTATGGGTCTGAATCTAGAGCACTTAACACGTCTCTCTTCAAAGGCATCACCTTAAATTGCTCTAAGAGCCACTTCAGATCTATCCTATCTAAAACACAGCGAGGAAAGTGAAGAGCTACTTGAAAACCACAGAAGAAGATTGGTGACCTAATTTGATGACTTTTATCATGGTTGAGAAAAAAAATAAAAGCCCAGGCATCATTGAGAGAGAATAAATGCAAGAAGACGGTCAGAGGATTTCAGCTCAAATTGGGAAGTTTCTAGGATAATGACAACTAAAAACTGGAGCACATCATCTCTCCATTTGGACAATGCAGGATAAAATCTCTATTTTGTTCTGCTCTAGATGATCAGGGATGGATATTAATGTATAAAGCATTGAGCTCAAATTAAACCCATTTCTGCAATAAACATTTATTAAATATCTAGGCTTTCAGTTCAAAAAGGCAGTTCAGTTGATTTGCTGATTTGAAGGCAAATGTAACTAATGCTGCCACCTCAACCTAAAGCTGGGTGATAATTACTTTGAATTAAAAAAAAAAAAAAAAAATCACAGTATCATGTCTACTGAGTATAGGTCGCCATGGCAACCACAGCCCATCTGCAGCTACAGTAAATCACTGGAAGAACATATAAGTACATTCTCCTGAACACATTAATGTAATACCTTCTGTACAATTCTCTACTACTTTGTGAGTGTCTGGTAAATGAACAACATAAAGTACATAACATCAACTAGTTAAAAATAGTAAAATCACTGTTAACAAAGTTTCTTGGACTTCTATCCTTGCCTTCCTAGAAAAGCTCAAGGCAGATGAATGTTGTGAAATGTTTTTTCTTGAAAGGAAACCGTCAAATAATGCCACTTTATATGCCCGGTAGAATATTCTGGCCCCCCTGCTGTGTATTTTAGTGTAAAGTAATTACAGGGTGCAAGTTAACAGTGCCCCACTATAGTTGGATTAAAGCCAAGTGGGGAGTGCTTACGATAGGGGGACTATGATGAGATAGGGCCCGTTGAGCCTCTTGTACTCCATCAGGTAGGTGATGAGGGCGATGGTCTGGATGGTTTTACCGAGGCCCATTTCATCAGCCAGGATGCCGTTGAGGTTGTTGTTGTAGAGGGACACCATCCACTCGAGCCCCTGGATCTTAAATAACAAAGAGATATAAAGATGTGCTGTGAGAAAACATAGGGCCACTTGGTTCAGAGAGCTGTGAATTAGAGCGAGAGAGACCACACTCCTCTTTGTGAAGTTCCTATTGATGAAAATAACAGGTTGCAGGTATAATGGTGTATTACAGAGATGTAGAAACCTCCACAGGACAGCTTCAAGTGAAGAACATCTTAAAATAAGCTCCGTCCTCCCCAAATTAAAACCACTATTTATGCTGGAAGTTTAAAGGTAAATCCAATTAAGATACATTTTCTAGTTTTATAGGTGATCTTGCTTGTTTTTTTTTTTCTTTTTACAGCCACTCTCCATCTCAGATCTATAGCTTATATGGCTCATCAAAGAACCTACAACAGGCTGGAAAACACAGGGCGGCTCCTTCATTCGGCCTCCTAAATACATGAGGGGAAAATAATCTAAGCTGTAACTGATTTTCTGACAAAACAACTCTACTAATCATCTCCTATTTCAGCTATTTGCACCACAAGTAAAACAAGAATACAGAAAAGATGTCTCATAATTAGTTTGCCAGTAATGCCTAAGCATTCCTTTTCAAAGCAGATCTTGATGCTCAAATCAAGAGCTAACAGCAAATTTACAGGCACTATAGCCAATAAACAAAATAGTCGGTACAAGGTGCTGTGAGAATAACCTTAATGTTAGGAGTGAATTGCCAAACATTACATTAATTGACATAACAGCAACAAGTCTGGCCATAAGGTTGCTTGATCAATATGCTAATTGCAAACATGGAGATTATCAAGATCCAATTATTTCCAAACAATTGATCTGCATTTTTTAAAGTTAGCGCTTAACTTCTACTCAAACTACCACTTCCCAGCATATTAATTTCTTCACCTGCAGCTTTTGCTGGAAAATGGGTAATTGCAGTAGCTATTATTTTAATTTATTTTAATTGCCTGTTTATCCAGCTTTATGTGTCAAAACTTTACATCAAATAAAATTAATTAAATAAAAAAAAACAAGAAAAAAAAAATCTGGATTAAAAGGAGCAGACTTAATTATCTCTGGTCAGAGGCAAACAAAAAGATTAGTGCATCACTAATTTTTAATTAATCTCAGTCTATGAGAGAGGAGGGATCAGGCTATGGAGGGGTGGAGAGCAGTCCGAGGCCTTATGTGCAGTTACAAAGGAGCTGCTTCTGTCCGTGGTGCTGAGATAGAGTGAAGCTCAAAGCCAAGCTCTTGATTTTACTTTTAGTTTACATTCAGACCTTCCCTCATGTGGTCATGAAATAAGGAACTTGCCCGATGGAACAAACTCAGAGATACAAGCGGCTGAAGTTTAAAACTCTCTTTGTGTGGGAGCTCCGTCACATGGAGGCAACTTATAGCGGAGAGTGTGTGTGGGCTAACTAAGGCAATGTACTCAGGCATCCTATAAACGTGCCTCTCTCTTGAGAGGCCTGTCTCATTGGAAGGAGACTCCAAGGCAGATGTAAACTTGCAACAGGAAGGATATATGTTGCCTGGGACTGCATCTGGACCCCCAGAACGAGGTGGAGATGATACCGAGGATAGGGATTTTTAGGTTTCCCTCATGGAGCGATTTCCTCCCAGATCCAATCTCTATTTAAGCAGATGTGAAAGGGTAAATGGATGGATGGTGCTGCAGCAACGCCGCACTAAATTTTTTATCTCCTCTTTGTAAATATAGTGCTGTGTGAGTCTTTTGTTTACTTTGAAGCCTCTAAATAAATTGCTCCCCTAATTAAATTAAATATTATGCTTTGCTTTAATTGTCTGCTCAGCTTGCATTTTGAAATAGACAAAACGGTACCAGTAGAGAGGAAGTAACCTTGCCTGAGAAGGTAAAGGAGCCATTTCTAAGGACTCCGATGACCTACAGTTGGTCATGATGAACAAATAGAGAAAATATGGAACAGGGGTGAACATTCCCAGGAATGGCCGTCTGTCCAGAAAAGATCAACCCAAGAGTGAAGCAGTGACTGGTCTAAAAGACCAGATCTAACATCCAAACAAATGCAGGCCTAAGTTGCTTCAGAGTTCTGACATTCATGATCAGAAAGAGACTGGGTAAAAATGGCTGCATGGCAGGGCTCCAAGACAAAAGCCATGCAGTCTAAATTTTTCCAGAAGTCACATTCATGATCGGCAAGACTTTTGGTATCACATCAGGTGTCAAAGTAAGATTGTTGTAATAAATGGAGCCATGAATTCTGCCGTCTACCAAAAACGTCCTGAAGAAAAATGTCGACCATCTGTTGTTGAACTGAAACAGACTTGATTCTGCAAAAGGTTAATGATATAAACACACTAGTAAGCCCACCTTAAAAAGGGCATTCGAGTTCGAAAACCCTCAGAGTTCTCTGAATTACAACAATTCTACTCCATGCAAATTCTCGCCAAGGCTTGACTGTATTTTTATTTATTAGGTTTAGGGGGGCTTTTTTTTTAAACACACGCTCATGCAGTTTTTAAATTTTTTCCCCTGTTTATAATTAAATGCCATTTATTAAACTGCCAAATAAGAGCTACATCAATTTAAACTTGTAGAAATAAAAATGATTGTGTGCATTAAAAGCAACAAACTGTAAACACAACAAATAAATAAACCTAAAAACTTATTTTTTATTAGATTTTGAAATGCGAGTCTGGAAACTTTCAACTTTTCAAGCTGGAATGTTGGCTTTAGGATGCTCTTCACCATTTGTCCAATCTTGAGGCTTTGAAATCCGTAAAGTTTTAGACGGGACACAGCAAAAATGAGTTAATGCGTTAGATTTCAACAGCTTGTGCCACGCTTCACTTTGCTTTGTTTGAAGGCAGGGAGCTGCAGGCTTGCTGTTTTTCTGCAGACAGCAGCCAGTCTGCTAAGGGGCAGAGCCACAGCAGAAGAAGATGGTAGGAGGGTAAAGACAACCAACACGGCTGTGTCTAAAAGCAGGAATGACAGAGATCTTTTATTTTTCTTTAGATGCCAGGTGTTCTTCCACTGAGGAACCTGTCACATTTATATATATGTACTTCTTTCATAAGTAGATTTCTCTTTTCATCTTAACAGAGATGTAAACTGTCCCAAGGAACATCTATGTTTCCCTACTTTGAAACCCCCACATCTAAGCAGATGAAAGGTATTACTAAAGTTACAATTAGGGCTAAAATTAACTGATCTAATTAATCAATTATTGAAATGATCGTCAACTGGAGTACAGAGATTGTAAAACATGCCTTTACCTGACAGAGCAACCCACTGAGAGCAGTAATTAAAAAAAAAAAAAAAATTTGTCTGTCAATATGCTCTATTCAGAACAACTGAAGTGGAAACGTTTTAGTTTTACCTGGTTTTAATATTATTTAAAAAAATCTTCTCTAAGAAACCTTTGGCTATCCGATTATTAATTATTAATCGAAAAAATAATCAACAGATTAATCGATTTATCAAAAATAATCATTAGTTGCAGGCCTAGTTACAATGGAAAAACGTTAGCCTCTCGATTGTACAAAGCTGGCCCCCTGTTTTAAAGAAACTGGGCACTAAACTACTACTGTTGGTGTAGAATTAGATGCTGGTATCAAAGGAGTAAATGTTTATATATTTTGTACAAGTCAAATAAAAAAAAATAAAAATTATACATAATGTTTTTCTTTCCTATATGATTTAAACTTTATTCTTCTAGATTTTCTGTGGGTGTGTTATTCTTGAGAAAAAAATGATTCCAGTAATGACCTTTAGGATTTTGGAGCAGGATACGCTCTAGTCTTTTACATTATATTCCGGATACATATGTCTAATTGAGCTACAGGTTAATCAAAGGATTAAAATGATCCTGTGGTAAATTCTGGAAACAGGGCCACACGGGGATTTTGTATGAAGGCCTTAAAGGTTTTGTTCCGCTCTCAAAGCATGTCTAATGTCTCCCCTATATAACTTGTGACAATCCATTAATGAGTCGTCTTCTTCCCTTCAGCTTTAATTTTCAACCTGCCTCTCTTCCATAAAGGCCTGATTAAAGGAATCTACCTTGGAAATGTTCTCCTAATGGAACCGTGGACCTCTGCAGCTTCATCTAATTGTCTAACCTGTAAGTTAAGGCCATGTCTCAGTATGTCTACAGTTGTGCCATATCGTTGTCTTCAGGTAATGGATTCAACAGAGCCAACTTCCCTCTGATCTTTCTGCTTTGTTACTTGCTTTTAATGGGTCCTTTTTTTTCTTTAAATATCCATAACAAACTGATTCAGTAGTAAAAATCCGGTCCCGGTACACTCAAGACTCTAGACTAGTAACAAATGAATGAAGTTGATTTAAATGTCAGCAATGAAAACCAGGGGAAAAGTGTAAAAATGATGCGAGCATGTTTACCTGATAATGTTTGAGCGTGCCGTTTATCAGCAGAGACGACTGCTTCTCCACCTTCTCAATGACGGCGTGGGCCACCCCATAATAAGACTGGGAGCTGGTTTGCCCAGTGGGAACGCTGTACTCATCATCCACATCTTGTTTGGCTGACCTGAACGTGTGCACAAGCAGAATGAGGAAACAGAGCAGCTATAGCTGAAGGGCACTTCTGTCTCATCATTCCAAAATATCTGCATTAGAGTCAGGTTTTCTCAAACTAAAATGTGTCTGATAATAAAAAGCAAATGGCGTACTCGATGATGTTCTTGGCATCGTGCTTATCCCCTTCGTCTCCACTGGGATCGGTTTTCTTCTTCTCCTCCGTTTCCGCCTTGCCCATTTCCTCTTCATCCTTATCAGGTGAAGTTGAAAGCAGATCAAAACAAAAAGACTAAATCGCATTAAACACTCACATCAGGCAGAATTAAGACTGTGAAAAGTTTGCAGCTAGAGCCCCCTGCTGGAGCAGCCTGTCCACATTTGAATAAGAATATTTCTCTTTAAAACAGCAGGTGGTTGATTTGGAGACATGCAGAACCTTATGGAGGAATGAATATCACAAAAATAAAGGTCACCAACCTCCTCCTCGAATTCGGAGCCACTTTCCTCACTGTCTGAACGTGGGGCGACTTCATACCTACAAGAGAAATGATCAGTTTCTATAATCAGATATCTCTCTGAACAAGGATTTCAGAAACCAAAACTAAAAAAAGGAACTTGGTTCATCTCCAGGAAATAGATTTGCCTGTCACCGCACCTCAGTGAAGAGGTTAGAGTTAAACACTGTGTGTCTTTTGATAGCAGAAAAGATAATATTCTGCACAGCATCATCAGATGAAGGATTATAGGCAACATCCTCACAGTTTCTGTACACTTGCTTTTTCCGATGTCTCCACTTGATTTAATATTAGTCAATAGATTTAAATACAGCATCATTTTGAAACATTTGTTTCAACATCTGTATCATCTACACAGTTCACAGTGCAAAAATAATGTCTAATAATGAAAAAATGGAGAATGGGAAAAGAAGGGAAGAAATTAATATTTTGAATTCTTTCGATTAAAGTGTGCTAAAAAACAGATTCAAATAACATTAACCTGAGCAGGTAAAACTCTCCTTTTCAAATATGTCTCAAATAAGGAATAAAGTCTGGAAATAGCAACTTTTTTCTATTATCAATTTTTCACTTCCAACACAGACTTGGAAAGCGATTAAGAAAATCTTGCTCCAGGCTTTTCATGAATGGGAAACCTGCTTAATGTCTGCTTGTGATTAATGGCAGCGGTAACAAAGCAACCTAAAACAACACAGATGCACCATTTTGTTCTTGTTAACAGTAATACTGCCTCCTGTTTACACCCATTTCCATATAAATGTCTGTTAACATGTGCATTTAGTAGATAAAGGATGAATAACCCCAATAACAAAAACAGCAATGCTTCTGTAGCTGATAGCAACTATGAGTAACGCTATGTTTTCTCACCCAGGGTTCATCTCCAGCCAAGCCTCCAGCTGGCCAGACGTCGGGGCATCTGTCCCCTGCAGAACCTTCCCAGTCGACGTCTGAATCACTTTAACTGGCAGCTCGCTCATTTGGCTGCTCTCATCCATGGGCTGCAGGACAGTTAGGATACAAGATGATTTAGCAGAACAAAAATCTTTTACAAATACCTGCCATTTTTCTATATCTGGATATGATTAAACAGCCTAAAATCAACTGATAATAAAGGCAGCTGATAGCAATTATTTCAAGTATCGCATTCAGGATACTTTTGTAAATAAAAATAAAAAAAACTGTATAAGAAGAATTTAAAGAAAAGTATTCACACCACTCACTGAAAAATTGCAGTTATTTAGATTTGATGGGGATTGGTGAAGCTTGTTAATAGCAAGTTGTGTGGTAGGTTGATTTATTTACTGATGTTTGTGTTTGTTAAATGGACTTTCCATCTGATAGAAGATCAAACAGGAAACTGAAACTTGGAACTGAAGTTTCAGTTATTTATTCAGTAACTTGAAAAATCTCTTCTTTCTTTGGAGCTGGATTAAAGCTACTCAATCAAATTGATGCCATCACAGCTCCAAGAAACACTGCATGTAGCTGCTAGATGCGCCGTAAAAAATCTGCAGGTATTTAACCTTGTTATCAATGCATCAAGTAAAGCTTATGGATCGTTTACATCTTGGTTACAGGTGAGAGGAACATAAAAGGTTAAAGGTCACTCTAAATATGTTTACTCTGTTCTGAAGTGCAAAGCAAAGCTGCACATTCTGCTCAGTGGTAAATGACAAAAAACTAATACACACAACTAAATAAAAATATCTCCTCTTTAAATCTGTAACTAACCTCTCCATCGGGTCCAATGGCGCTGGTGCCTTCGCCGTCTCCTTCCACCTTCTAGAGATGAAATAGAGACAAAAAGACAACATTTTAAAGCTTATGGTAGTGCTAACAAACATTAGTCTCACAAAAGGTTTTCAGGAGCTGAATTTTAACCCAAACCTATAAAAAAAACAAAAAACGATTTTGTTACAAAAATAGTAAAAGAATACATAAACAAAGCTATATTATCCCTATAACTTAGTGGTTCCAGACTGAGGGTCTTATCGCACAAAACTATTTAGCTGTCTTAAGATCAGATAAAGAAAATGCATCTCTACTTCCTAAATTTGCCATCGATCGTTAAGATTTTTTTCCTTTTTTGTTTAAATTGAAACTTCTTTAACTTGTGTAATCATGTTGTCATTTTTATCACGTAAATGGACAAGGAAAAAAAACAGCAGCTCTAAGAATCAGCCCAAAAAATTGGTTAAACTGATAGCAAAATAATCATTAGCTGAAAAGAAAAACCTGTATCGGTTTATCTTTAGGTCTATAGGAATTTTATGTAATATTATGTGGTTTGTTCAAGGTTATGTGCTGTGAAAGCAGCGCCATGTACAGTACGACATAGTACCCTCTTTCTACAGCAGATGTAAACCATATATGACCTGCTGAACTGTAAACTGGACACTTTATCTTTCTATCAACGATTTCTTTGTTCTGGTCATTCTATAGCAAAGGCCCAGAATGGTCGTACCACCTACAGACTCCTATGGGAGAGATGTGGATCACTGCAGCTTCTCCAAAGTTATCACAGACCTTTACAAGCTATTCAGAGTGTTTTCATTTTCTTGGTAGGTTTTCAGTTGCCTCATACCCCTTTCTCCAATGAAATTGGAGAGCGACCTGTGACCTGTTCAAAGCAGGGTTGTTGTTTTATTTATAACCTGTTCCTGTTTGAACCTTTCCAAACTTCTTTTCTGACCACATTGCTGTGATTTTTGGTTTTCATGATGCTCTGTGTTAACTAATAAACGCTCTGAATGCTTCACAGGATTCAAACTGAAACAGGTTGCTAAAACATACTAAACCTTAAAAAGAAAACAACAAAAAAAATCTCTTCCTACCTTCTTTTTCTTCTTCCTCCTCTTCTTCTCCTTGGCAGCCTGAGCAGCTTTGTGCTCATACACCAGAGATGTGAGGTTGGCCACATATTCATCCGTCTGTTGCAGCAAATAGGCCAGACGTTTGTCCTTCTTCTGGTCAATGAGTTTCCGGTAGCCTTCCTCATCCTCTGCCTGGACAAAACAGTGACAGGAGGGTAATTGTGGAAGAGCTCAGGAGCTGAGTGCAGCTCTAGAGTGCTGATGGATTAAACTCAGAGGGTCACAGTTAGCACAACATCAAAACACACTCAATTCTTGCACAGATGGGTACAACTTCGTATTAGTCAAATACTGATATCACTGACAGGAAAGAACCAAACATGACCTCATTGGTGCCTGATGGAAGGCATATCTCTTACCATCAGTCTTCTCATTCTCTCCTTCTCAATTCTCTCAGTTTCCTTCTTCTGCTCCCGTTCGGTGTTTGTGTGCCAGTTTGCGACAGCTCTGGTGAGTTTCTGGGTTTTCCCGGACACTGAGCGGTGGTATTCCTTAAAGTCCTTGGCATGCTGAAGAATACTGTTGAGGTATTCCTGTAAAACAAGGGATAAAGTTTAATCCCACATCTCACGCCGTATAAAATATGTTACGGTTAGATAAGTTTTGAATCAAACTTCAGAAGGCTGTTCCATGATGACTTACCTGATGTTTTTGTCGGCGCTTCTTCTCCTGCTCCAGTTTCTGTTGCTTCTCCAGCTTCTCTGTCATGCGCGCCTCCCTCAGCGTCTGCCGCTTGCTGCGCCTGTAAGCCTTCGAGTTGAGGGCCGTCTCCAGGGTCGTGTCTCGCCTCATACACGCCACCACATCCTGCCTGAGCTGGACGTTCAATCGGGTTTCATTAAAAACAGGAAACAATTTTGTAGCATTTTAAATCTTTTTTTTTACTATGTTTTCCTGTTGGTAACAGATGTGAAATGGAAAGACACAGTTAATTTATAGTCTTCACAGAACTACAGCTTAGTAGGGCTGCAACTAACAATTATTTTGCTAATCGATTATTCTGTTGATTATTTTGTTCAATAAATTGTTTAATAATCGGAGAGCAAAAGGTTCCTTAAAGAAGATTCCTGTCAGATTACAGCTGACTTCCGGACCTTCAGTCCAAAATAATCCCCATTTAGGCTCAGATTTACATCCATGTAGTTGCAACAATTATCTCAGTGGCAGAGTACCTGGCGCTGGAAGTTGAGCAGACGTAGCGCCTTGAGCTCCACTGTAGCTTTAGTTCTAAGGTCCGGAGGCAAGGAACCAGGTAGACTCTCCAGTTCCTGGATGCGATGAGCAATCCGGGCCTGCAGTCTGAAAGACATCAGTAGCACACCTTGTTAAAATATTGCAGACTCCACATTAACCCTGAGGGAATCATGATAATAGACACCTTCAGCAACTATGCTTCATAATTTGATTTAAAATTTTCCCAGGCATACAATCAAAAACAGGAAAATAAAATACATCTAAGAAAAGCCCTTGGGAGCGCAGACCTCCACCAAACAGCACATTTTGTCCCATATTGTGACTTACACCTATAGCTTAAACTCACAAATGATCTGGATCATTACCATCATTTATGAATTGTTCCTTGGCATGAGGCACACCTTTGGTAACAATTTCTTTGATATCCTTTCACAGGTTTATAAATAATTTTCACAAAAAACAGTTAACATGGAAACTACGGAACACATCCTTGATACAAATATCCGCCGTATTCTCCGTTTCCACATTTAAAAGGCCACCATGTTTGATTCTGGCCTGGTGGATCTTTCTAAGCCCTTGTGTTCCTTCTGTCAGGACCAGCGTCTATCTGCACAGGAGCCATAAATCACTGGGAATTGATGGAGTAAATGCTAAAAGAGCAGAGATGTTTTAACATGTCAAACTTAAAAAATATCTTTAAAGCTTATTTGGTTCCTTGATTTGGATCTCAGAAGAACTTTGGCCTTAATAAGTTCTAATTAAAAACTCCTATGAAGCACTTTTAATCAATGCTGTGGTTTTCATTATTTTTAAAGGCTTTTTTTTATGTTGAGACTTAATGAGATAAAAACAGGGAGAAAACTACTCAGATATAAAATAAAGAGTTAGAGAAGTTAAAGCAAATATAACCATCAATCAAGAGTGATTCGCAAAAAAAAAAAAAAAAAGAACACTGCAGAGCTTATTATATTTATCTTCCAAGAAAGTCTAAGCAAATGTGTGACAGCAGCCTTCAAACTCTACCTGTACTCTCTCTCCTGCAGGATTCCCACTGGGTCCAAACCCTGAGGCTTCTGGACCGGAGTAATTCGGTTCTGCTTCTGCTGCATTTGGAGCATGGGGGACACCTGCTGACCCGGAGGGTGAGCAGCTGCTGAACTCCCTGGCAACGGTCCAGAGGGTCCTGCAGGGATCGGCGGGGGTGCAGGAGATGGGCGGCCACTGGGTACCGGAGTGAGGTGCTTCTGTGCGTTTGCTTGATTGTCACCACCTTGACCTACAAAAAAAAAAAAAAAAAAAAAAAAAAAAAAAAAAGGAGCTTAGTGACCTATTTCTTTACCATGAGTATTTGTCCAGAATAAGAAATTTCTTGACCACAAAAAGTAACAGTAATTCCTTTTTATTACTATTTTTTTTATTTACCTGCTTCTCAGATTACAAATTTATAATCGAAATTTCTTTAACTGTACAAAACAAACCAAGAGGAAACCCTAAAGTTATGGAGCTTAAACAGACTAAAAGCTATAGAAAAACACTGTCTGCAGGTGAAAAGATAAGGCCACCAAATGGGCCCCTGTCTAAAACCAAATCACTGAAAGATTTATAGAAAATGAACCACAACCATTTGAGCTACAGTTTTACTATTTACGATTCACATGTCCTCCTTTTGTAAAAACAGACCTTTGTAGTTACTGCCATGTCTGAGTTCAGATCTAAAACTTCAATCGATCTCTGAGCTTCGTCAATATATTCAGTCAAACAGGTCAGTTTGGAAGAAACAAAACCTGACAATTGATCCAAGAGTGTGTGAAAGCCTGAGGGGACTCACCATCAGTCCAAGGCTTGGCTGCTGTGCTTTGATTGTGTCCTTGCATGGCTGGTGTTGGGCAGGGGCTTGATTGGGGGCCGCTCATAGGCGCCATACCTTTAAGCAACATAAAAGTAACTAATGAGACTTGACATATACTTGATCTGCCTCACAGACTTTTCCTTCTAATATATGAAGTTGGGTGGAAGAAAGCTTGATTTATGCTTGATCTACGTATGTTCAGGGTGGAAAATGCGATGTGTGGACACAACATCCCCAGCTTTTATATTCTGTGTGGCTATTTTACTTGTACCTAATATTCTAGTAGGGTCTACAGGACATGTCAAGAACAAACCACAAGCTTTCAACAATTAAGGCTGATTTATACTCAGAAAACAGGTCATCTGCGTGTGTGTTGAAGTTAACACAAATGCGCCCCTTTCGCAGACACTCTGCTGCACCTCTCCGAAATTGTAGGTTACCACTGACAGTGCTGCAGACAGGAAGCCCCTGATTGGTCAAATCTACATCCACTCTACTCTATGCGTATTTCCTGTTTGGTACCTTATTGTCTTGTTTTGTTTGTTTGACCGCCATTGTGGCAAACAACTCGTGAAGTTGGACCAGCTAGAATAGCGAGGTGTGTGAGAACGCTGGGACCCTTTTTCCACCTGGATCCCTGCTCTTTTTGGCCCTCATGTCCGTTGTCGAACAAACTTGCCCCCACTTACTCACCACCTCGGCCATATCTAGATCCACAGCTAGTTTGTGATTGTTCCTCTTACGTTGTGGCGTGGAATAACATAATGCAGACCACGCTTCAATATTGGGCATAAATCAAAAATATCTGCAACAAGCTCACTGCGACACATTGCTGCGGGAGTATAACCAGCCCTTTACTTACTCCTCAAGTTTACTACATGAGGATGTAGGAAACACAGGGATTTACAACTTTTGTGAAAGCATTTTCTTGTTACCCAAGAGTGACACTAATTTCTTTCCAACAGTTTTTCCACAATCTGTTTACCGTAGTGATATTTATGGGTTAAATCACAAGATATCCCTAGAAGGTGGGAGCTCTTGCTTTTCCACCAGCTGGCCATCTGGTTAGAAACTTTCCTGAGTGGCGTTGGATCTTAAATAGTGGGGAGTATAAGCATGGGTGTTGCGATATGATACTTGTAACAATACTTGGGTCACAATACTAGAATATCAATATATATTGACATATTTTCCCAGGTATCAAATTAAATGTTTAGTTTAAAAATCAAGTGATGTATATAATCATCAGAAGATATTGATAATTTAGTTAATTAATGTAATCATGTTGTTTGTGGATGCACAGCAAAAGGACTCCACAGCACTATCTTGCAGAGTGGCGGTACAGAGGTAGCCCATTTTCCCTCATTGTATTAGTTTTAGACATGCCACCTTTAAGGCCAAAAATCCCAAAATATTGCCTAATTTATTTTTTCCCACACCCCTAATCTTAAATCCCGTAATTTAGCCGTGCAGATTAGACAGACGCATCACGCATACTGTAAGTCAGGTTTAAGACAGTCACTTTACGGGGCCACTTTGTGACTATGTAAGGGGTGCACATTTTTATATAATGTTTTTATTTGTGATGCAATATCTTTTAGAATAAATCAATATCGACATTGACGCTATATATAAGCAAAAACCATACAAATAAACATGGTGCCTTAAGACATCTGGAAATAATCAGCAAGAATCACGGTTTATCTATTTTCTCAAACTGTCTAAACACATAACCAACTAAGCGTATGTGTGTAGTAACAGCTAATACAAGGTAAAGACAGCACTGCTGAACAATAAAGGACAGTTTAATCCTCTGAAATTGAAGTAAAAAATATCTATTAATTAATCAGGCACTAAACAAATAAATTATTGTGTTAATCACAGCTGATCGAAATCAGGAGATGTTCACTTCGACTTAATGGGGGTGTGAGTAGTGTGTGTTTTTTATACAGTACATTTAAATCTCCAATTTTAAATATTTTGGGTCATGAGGATTAAGAAGCAATTAAAGGACAACGTGATCTTGACACGAATTAATCTTAAATCTTAAAAATTCTATTGTAAAATAGCTCAAAAAATGAGAGATGATATCCATAATTTTCCTGCGACATGATAAACAATCTCAATTTAGACACTTTGTTCAATGTTTCATTCACCAAAAATCTATAAAAAAATACCGTTTACTAAATTATTGAAGATTTTGTCCAGCTAGAATGCAATATCAGCAGAAACTTGAACAATAGCAATGTAAAAAAGAAAAAAAAGAAGAACCACTAGTTGTTAAAACACAGTTACCCAAATGTTTATTCTTTCAGTTGTTGATATAATAAATTTAATCTTCCCACCTGAAGGCCTGTATGGGCTGGCACCAGATGCCTGCTGCTGCTGCGGTGGTTGCTGCTGCTGCTGTTGTTGTTGCTGCTGCTGTGGCACCGGCTGTTGCTGCTGCATTGTGGGGAGACTCCTTTTGCCCTGAACGGCCAGCTGGAGGTTGTCTGGCAGCGGCTGCCCTCGGGCCAGAATCTTATAGGCCAGAATCTGGGCTCTGAGCTGCTGCAGCTGCACTGGGCTGAAAGCAGAGGGGCCACGTCCTTGTGGGCCCATTGCAGACATGTTGGGCATCCCTCCTTGAGGATCCATGGGCATCATGGGGCCTGACTGAGATGGAGGAATGTGGGGCGGTGTAGGACCACCTCCACCTCCTGACATGGGACTGGAAGCATGCTCATGGATTCCCATCGGGGACGGATGTGGAGACATGTAACCTATTCAACATAACAGAAAACATACTAGCTTTAATGTTTCTAAAATCTTGTGATTCAAATCAAAGCAGTGCTTCTTACCTAGGTGTTAAATACATTAGGAATTAATGCAATCTGTTGTAACTAACTAATAGACTGCTGTGACTGTCTTGAATGTTACCAACTCATAATTTTGCTACTACATGATTCTGGGGTGATATATTAGGATATTTTTTAACAACCTCAATCTGCTTCAAACCCCTTTAATTCCCTCTGACATTTCTGATGCATTATTAAGTCTTAATGAGGCTTTTTTCTTGAAAAACCTGAGTCTTTTACAGAGCAGTAGGATTTATACCAAAATGAAATAACACAAGGGTGACATTATCCACTAATTCCCTAAAGCTAATAGGTTGCACAATGTTTTATAGCATCAAATTAAAGGGGATGAATAACAATGGATGCCAGTCTTCAGATTTTTAGCTATCAAAAATACTGGGAACCATTATCAACGAAGCTCCACAAGGTTCAAAGGGCATGAATATTTTTCTAAAGCTCTGTAGATTTCTGTCAATCAGATCATATTTGTTCTTTAATGATAAATATTAAATATAACAGTCTGTGCTACCTCAGTTTGGAGTTTTAATTTAGTTTTTAAAGACTTTAAAGATTCAGATGAGACTATATTTAAATATATACTCAAAGCTACAAGAACTAAGAAGTATTTTTGCTTTCTGTAGAAAAATTGAGAAACTTTACCTTGGCTATGCTGGTCCATAGGGCTCTGTGGAGGTCCCATGCCGCTGTGGAGGGACCTCATGCCCACACCTTTCATGTGGCTGAAATGCATCGCCTCAGACATAGTTTTGTCATTCATTGCTGCCTCCATGGGCTGAAAAAGAGAGAGAGAGAGAAACTAGCAGCTTAGCAAAAAACTGATCTACTTGCATTCAGCAATCCACAGAAAAATCCCTTGTCTGTACTTGCAAAGACAAGAGCATATTCAACCTCTAGTTTACAGCCAGGCAAACCAAAATTTGTCTGATCCGAAATGTGTTGTATCTGTTTTGTTACCCAACAAAAAATTTTAACTTAGCTCTCATATTTAAGAGGGGCTCAGACTGCCACAAAACGGCACTCTGGGATTTGCTGTCAAGTTTTTAGAATTCAATCCACTCATCACACTATGTGATCGTCTGGGAAAGGCAGGCCATGCAGAGCAATTTGTACAGACCAAGTGCTGTATACTGACCTGAATAATAACTGAATGTATATCAAATTAAGTTAATATTTGCCCGGTGTTATGCACTGTTGCTTTAAACCGTTTAAACTCCAGCTAGCGACTTTCAAAACCCTGTCCTACCGGCTGCCACTTAATATTTCACTTATAAAAGCATATAAACCAGGAGTGAGCAAATGATACAGGATGATGAGATGATCAGAAATTTTACTTTAGAACAGAAACAACTTTGAATTCTTTGGAAAACTCTAAATTGTATCCAGATGTCTTGGATTTTTGGTAATCTGAAAACAAGTGTTTCCCACATCAGCAGAGAAAAGCTTATGTCCACATCAGTATTCGCCCTCCTCTATCAAACAGCGGAACTGACAACGTACCTTATGCATAGGATACATGTTGTCCTGAGAGTAATCGCCTTGTCCCTGGCTCTGCATGCCATGGGGTGCGTTGGGTGTTCCTGGTCCAGGACTGGGCCCCATCATGCTGTGAACTGAACCAGGGGAGGGATCCGGTCCAGGGCTGGGGCCCAAGATGGGCCCTGGGGACAGGCCTGCCCCTGGTGATGGGCCAGGATGGGACATGCCACCTGACGTGTCTGAAGGCGTGGACATCTACCGAAATGCCAGGACACCAGTCCACTAAAAGGGGAAAAACAGCAATCATTGGGTATTTATTCAGGTAAAATCACAACAGGCAAAGAAAACAAAAGAAAAAAAAAGAAAAACACAGTTTACAATCTTAATTTAAACTGACACTATATAAACCCTTTTAAAGTATAGAACTATTATCACACATAACTTGGTTTCTTTATACATTTTTAAATCAATAACATTTATTTGTAGATTCTCTACAAATCTCTAAAGATACATTTCACTGGTAAATAACATCCATCCATCCATTTTCTGTCACACTTATCCCTACTGGGGTCGCGAGGGGTGCTGGTGCCTATCTCTAGCTGTCTACAGGCGCGAAGCACCCTGGACAGGTCACCAGTCCATTGCAGGGCAACACAGAGACAAACAGGACAAACAACCATTCACGCATGCATTTACACCTAAGTAGAATTTAGAGAAGCCAGTTAACCTAACAGTCATGTTTTTAGACTGTGGGAGGAAGCCGGAGTACCCGGAGAGAACCCACGCATGCACAGGGAGAACATGCAAACTCCATGCAGAAAGAGCTGGGCCAGGAATCGAACCAGGATCTTCTTGCTGCCTGGCGGCAGTGCTGCCCACTGCTGCACTGAGCAGCCCATGGTAAATAACATTCTTTCTTAATTAGCATGATACATTTAAGATTAGAAAGTTAATTTGCTACAGAGAGGAAACTGTCAGACTTGGCATTTTATGAACATACTTATATGTTACAATGCAGCACATGAAAAAAATTCCTCTTTTCTAGAGGTCATTCCTTACAATCAGCATCAGCAATTAAGGAGCATCTAATCATAAACTGTTACTCCTAAATTCTCCCTATCATATATTTGAAAAGAATCTAAACAGGGTTCTGTTTACTTTCCAGCACAGCTTCTTCATATTTCCTATAAATGACAGCGTGGAGTTGGTTATTTGTTTACTTATTTTAGTAACTAAAGTAAAAGCTTTTATTTACTTGTTGAGATTAGATCACTTCTATAGTACTTTGATAAACAAAGATGTCCTTTATCTTTCATATCAACATCGACTTGCTTATAAAAATCTGCCTGTATGACACATTTAAACATCGACTATCGAAATAAGTAGAAAACGCTGAATGCAGAATAGAAAATTTGCACTCCGTCCAGCTGATTTGCCACCGTATGTAAACAATCGCCAAAGTATAAAAACATTACCTTCTTATATTGCACCCATAGAAATTCCTGTACAGTTACGCGACCGTTAGCTGGCTAACTATCACCATGAAGAAGCGACTCTGATTGGATCATCATGGCTTCCCCTTAAAGCACTGGTGGCCATCATGTACAGACGAAAATCTAAGTCAAGATGAAAGTTCAGCTTTTGTCAGCTTTATCCTACTACTCTGGGTGACTTATTGAAAATGAAACGTGGCGTTAAGAAAGCCTGGGTATCATAAAGCTATTACTGAGGCGTTTTAAAGGTGTTTGTTTGGCTCGCACGGTAGAGAACTTAAGCTAACTGCTAATTAGCTTAGCCCGCTAGCTGTCGTGTCGGACTCCTATCTTGTGATGTGTTCCATGTCACAAAGTTTGGACAGTTTACACCATGCAGAGTTTTTGTAGAAAAGCATAAATATCTCAAAAACAATGAGATAATTCGTTTTACCTTTCGATTGGTTCGAAACTGCACACAGGAAAAATGAATTATTGTAACGTTTCCTCCAAAATATGACGGCTGTCTAGAAGTTCGCTCCCTCCTCCATGTTGTTGTTTAGCTGTCATACTCAATTTGCTGTCGTCTCGTATCGCCAACATTGATTGGCAAATGTTACCGGAAGTCCCGCCTTACAGCGATTGTCATTGGCTTAATAACCGTCAGTCTTTTTATTTTGTTGATGGGCGTGTGCCTGTTGGTATAGAAAACTGCGATTCTTTTACGAGAGTCGGGTCTATTTTTTTCAGTTCAATCTTAAAGATTCGAATCGTTTGGCTCTGAAGGGGATTCTAACATTTCTCCTAATTTGGTAAATTCGTTTTCACGGCTTATGAGAATCCGAAATTCCATTCTCATTAAGTCCTTACCCAAAAAAGTAAAAAAAAAAAAAAAAAAAAATAACCTCTGGACTTTTTTTTTCCATTTTTTTTTAAGGTGGCTTTGTTTCTAACTTTTTTGGAACGACTGTGACCTGGATGACTGTGAATCTGCACCAGCAGATGTCATTATATTTTTATTTTTTAAAATGGACTATATAAAGGGTAAACGATAATAGCAAAAATCCAAATAAAGTTTTGAAGTATGATAAGACAAAAAATAAAAAAAAATTATAAAAAAAAAAATTTATGCTATGCCTTTTTTATTTACTTGTTATTCAGTTGACTCTCTCTGGAACTCTGCAAAGAGTAAGCCACAAAAAATAAATGACTTAAAGAGGTAAGCTTTTTACAGGAGGCCAAACATGAATGGAAGAGTGAAAGAAAATTATTTATTTAATTAATAATATACTTATTTGATTGGGATAGTGCACGTCAATGAACCCACATGTATGCTGGATTAGAGCCAAAGGACTATTTCCACCGTTAAACAGAGTGCACAGTTAAAAAGCTGTAAAATGTACAAACCTTTCTACAAAAAGGGGTTCATAGTTGCACCAAAACACACTTTACAGTTCTAACATTACTCACAATAACAGACAAATCATGTGTTATTGTGAGCAAACTGAAACTGAAGTCTTGAGACAACTAGGTAGGAAAGCTCATTCAAAATTTGGGAAAATAAATAACATAAACTGCAGCTCAAGGAAACAGATTCAAACTGAGACTTCAACCTGAGACGTCTGATATGTCTTAGCTTTGCTATTAAGAAACAGGACCGATTGCTCACTCTCATCTTTTGTTTTGTTTTAGCACTTGGTAATGCTTATATTATTTGTGTGCACCAGCTCTCTGTCAGACTTATTAATACCCGGTTTATTGACCTTGGCATCACTGTATTTGCCTGATCATCAAAATGGCCAAAAGTCTGTAGAGAAACTATGGAAAACTGTAATGAGCATGCTAGAGTAAACAATGCATCTGAGCTAAAAGCCACAATCTAAGCAACCTGCACTTTATTGACAAGGCACCACAGCCAAACACACACCTCAACCACGCCATATTGCATGCATGAAGAAATTCATGCAAAAAGAGCTTTGACCAAGTATTCACTACATTTACTGTACAAACATTGTTATAATTTTCAGTACTGAGACTTCTTTATATTAGGGAAATTAAATATCCTCAAGAGAAATAAAATCAAATTCAATGTCAAATAAAATTTGTCCTTTTCTTTAAATTAGAGTGTTCATTAGGTATAAGCCATCATCACAGATCATTACACCTACTGTTAAAACATTAGGTTTTATTTATGGATATATTTAGGGATAGTCTCAAAGCTGAAAAATTGGCCATTTTAGTTTCTGTAAACAGTATGTTCAATGGACACTAGATGGCAGCACTGATCAAAAGTTGCCACTATGAAAACTGTGTGCAACTCTGGAGAATGCTATTCCCAAACTTCTATCAATAACATGCATATGAGTCCAAAACAAACAAGAGCTGGCCGCTGTTGCATTTATTTACATAGTCTAACTTAGTAAGTCTGATTATAGCATTGTGGAATTTCAGAGGCTCGGCATGCAAATGACAGACAAGTTTACCAAAGCTTTATTTGCATCATTTTGACATCAGAAACTATGTTATGGTTTAATTATGAAAAGATAAAGCTGTTTTCACTAGAAATTTGTTTATTAAACCTCAACAGTCATATAAATATTGTTGTTTTTATTGCAGATTACTATTTTAACATCAAGTGTAACTCATTCATATACTATAGGTATGTTAAAAGGAAGAAACATTCAAATTCTTGTCATTCACTCTAAAATTGCCCTTCATGCAAAACATTAAGGGAAGGAAATAATTTTATTTATCATTCGTATCCCATTGAGAAGCTGAAAAAAAAATGAAAGAAAAAAAAGCCTGAATGTTTAAAAAACTAAATCATGCCGCAGTCTCTTCAATAAATTGACCATATTAATGAGTTTTTTTGTTGTTTTTTCTTTGCACCATACTTTTTTTTTCACCCAACGTTTACATTTGATCACTGCTGCACCTTAAGAAATGGAAATTTCATGAAAGCTGTACACTCTGTGTATACAAAATGACAATTACGTTTGTCTAAGTTTTTTTTTTTTTTTTTACAGCAAGAGTTAAAAAAAAAAAAAAAAAGAGTGTAGCAGATATTTAGTCAGCTAGATTTTCATCATTGAATAAAATTCAAAACACACATGAATTATGAAGCTTCTCAAATGTACATTCCGGATGAGGAATGACTCTATGATGACCCAGGAAGACAGTCAAAGGCTTTTCCTACCTCATTTGATTATGCTCACAGATCTATAAGCAGTGCTCATTTAGGTTTGGATCATAACTTCCCCTCCTTTACAATTCTGTTGTTTCTTTTGTATCTACAGAAAGGATGCACACAGGGTTCCAAAATGTAAATTTCTGCCAATCTAAACAAATCCAATCAACTTCGTGGTTGAAGCCACCGGCTTCTTCAGATTCAGAGAGCCAGGAAAGGGCTAGGCCGCAGTCATTTGTCAGTGAAAGGATTAGTGGTTGTGGCTTCCACTCACCTTGAAACGTGCCGTAAAAAAAGGCTCCGGAAAGTCAATGGCATGACATTTTATTCAAAGTTCAGAGGGTTTTTTTTTTTTTTTAGAGTTTTTTTTTTTTTTATGGTTTTGTTGAACAATAGCACATTCAGGTACTATGATGTATTGACTTCCTTATTCTTCTTCAAAAATCTTGTTTTGTCCATTGACAAACCAAATAAATGAACTAAAAACAGCCATTTTTAAATACTGGGTGAATTTTAATTTTGACTTTTTAAACACTTAGAACATCCTAGTTTACACATAATTTTGGCGCAACAGAAATATAGGGCCTTAAAAAGTATACAAACCTTTTCTTATAAATCATGGGTCTGTTGGAATTTCAACTTTACTGCTTTACTTTAAAATTATATAATTAAAATATAATATATATGTTTTCAGTTGTGTTTCACAAATGTTTTAATATATTAATGCACAGAGTGACTGATTGAGACATGTTTAGCTGACAGAAAAGTTTGACCACTCTGGGAGGGACCTAAACATCTACATATGGTGTTTTTAAAGACTTATTTTGCACCTCCTGATTGACAGCAATTGTTCAGGTAAAATAACCTTTGCCCTGATTCATAACAAACTCCACATATTCACATAGTGAGCATATCTAACATTCTTTGCATTTTTAGTTATAACAACTGTATTACAAATAATTGTAGGCTTAAAATAAATGTATCTAATATATAACTTTTTTTTTTAAGAATTTTTTTTTCTACTCGTGTAATTTGACAGGATTTTACTCTGTTAGAAAGCCAAAAATATATATATTTTCATATAAAAATCAAAGTAAACTACAATTATTGCAATAGTTAGTTACAAAAATGTCAATGCAATAAATATTGTTTTGTCTCTCATTCAACAGAGACAAAACTTTTATAATTCTTTAAAATTTCAGAGAAACTGCTGATGTGGAAATCATTTCATAATTATGCCATATTTTCTGTTATCATCTTATTTCTTAATGATCTGTAATTACGCAAATTTGATTATCAATATCAGTCTTTTGAAGGATAAAGTAATTAAATAGGCAGTAGTCCATGTTAAATGTAAGGTTATGGAGTTCAGACAGAATAAAGCCTATTTTGTTTTTCATGGTTATTTCCTTCAAACATGCTCTGACATTTAGACAGCTATAGAAACACAGACATCCAAGCTTGCACTGAGCAGTAATCTGCAGGTGTGTGCAAACAAAAGGTGTGTTATAATTAGTTTTACATGTGCCACATTTGGCAGCGAGCTGTTTACATTTCTCTCTGTGTCACCTGAGAGTCCCATTTGAATAACCAATGCTCACATTGCGGTGTACTTATTTTTCCTGAAGTTTGATGATGAAGTGACTGTTTAAACAGAAGAGACAGGCAGCATATTGGTCATGAGTAGCAAATATGCTTGTTTAACGTACTAAAGTTTACACTGTTGTCGCTACTTGTTTGCAGTCAGTTTCACAATGTTTAGGACAGCATGCATTTTATGTGTAATTAATGAATAATAATAGGAGTTAAAAGCTCTTTAAGCTCCATTTTTGTTTTCTAATCTGTAGCCTTTATGAAGGTTAGAGGGTCAGTCTTACAGATTTAGTTGTGAAACCTCTACATTTTTTTTTTTACCTCTGTTGCTAAAAGATTGTTGGTTGAGAAAAAGAGCCATTTAAAAAATTTTTTACTTTCCACATTTTCCGGGGAAAATCTTTCAAATGTTCATTTCAATTTTGTGTTCTTTTCGATGTCAATGTAATTAATTATTTTCAATATATTCTTTCCAACAAAAAAAACAATCTTTCTGGCAAAAACTCAAACTAGATTTTCTTCATATTCCTTTTTTCTATTTCAAGTTGTTAGGATTATTTTCGATTATTCATGTATGTGCTTGTTAAACTCTAATACCTGCCTGTTACTTGTTAAGGCTAATGGTTTCCCAAAGCAATTTATCTAATTAGGAAATTTCTTCTGTCAGGATAAAACATAATAATCTTCATTCTGTACATGAAAAAGATTTGGGAATAGAATATGAGCACAGATAGAGTGGATCATTCTTAACAGCGAGCTCTATGTCACTGTGCATGTACTTGATGTAGAAC